AAACTGGAACCATAACAGAAGAACTCAAACAATGCCAGGAAGAACCCACTTTTGGGGTTTGAGGATCCTTTTAGAGGTCTGAGTTTTTGTGTCTGCTTCACAACACGGTGACGTGAGCCCCTGCCACGTGGCCCAATAGATCCAACTGCTGAAAACAATCACTATATGCTTCACTGCAATGTGAATTGAACTCACACCTCTTGAATGCTAGGTAAAACTCTACCATTAAGCTATGCCCTCAGTCCCCATTTAAAAATGCGGGTATAGATATAAACTAATAATCAATTGGAGAGAACATTTTGAGGTGGGAAAGTCTGAGTTCAAGCCTGTCCTCCGAAAATTACCAATTCTGAACTTCAGTTTTCCTATCTGTCATTGAACTTCAGTTTTCCTATCTGTAAAAATGAGAATAACATAGTTCATTCATTAACTCATTCCTGTGCATTTCTTTTTCCTAAGTACTCTTCTGTGACCTGGGGTAACAGTTGTGAATGAAGCAGGCACACTCAGCCGTCATAAAATTCATATTCTGGTCATGGGAGATGACAATAAATATGTATGATGTCAGGTAGTGACTGGTGTTTGTAAAAAGATGGTGAAAAAGATGCTGGTGAACTGACATTTGAACAGAGACTAAAGTGAGGAAATGACCCATGTGGGCAGTTGGCAGAAGTGCTTTCCAGACAGAGAAATCCAGGCCTCAGGGCACAGCCTCAGGTGTGTGAGGAACAGCAGGGACAGTAGTTCAACTGAAGGGATAGGAGGGAGGGGCGGGGTGGAGGTGATGTCCAAAAGAGACTTGAGGGGAGTGTAAGGAGGTGACTTTTTCTCTAGAGCCCTGGGGAGCCATAGAAGGGGTTTGAGCAGAGGAGCAACAGGGTCCTGGACAATGGAGAAAAGAGAAAAGAGTGGTTTGAATCAGGGTGCTTGTGGGGAGACCATGAGAAGTGGTGAGACTCTGAAAATATGTGAAAGGTAGAAGCAGCAGAATTTACGGGTGGTTTAAATGTCAGATGTGCAGTGACTTCAAGACTTCGGCCCTGAGAAATTAGAAGAATGGAGTTTTTATTTGCTAGAGTGGAGAAGGCTGAGGGAGGCGCTGGTTTGGGAAAGAAACGGAGAAGCCCAGTGTTGGGCATGTTCGGCGTGAGCTGTTCTTGCAGAGGAGGGGTCAGGCAATTGATTCTGTGCCTCTGGGTTGTAAGAAAGAGGTCAGAGCTGCTGCACACACTTGGGTGTTATCAGCACAGAGACAGTGTACATCCCGGTGATTGAACAAGGTCATCCAGGGCTTCAGTGAGTCTGTGTCCTTCACATGGGTGTGAAGGTCAAAGAGCTAGCACAGGAAAGACATTTCCGGAAACCGTCATGTGCTGCACACTTAGGAAGGACTAAATGCATGGATATGGCAAAGAACAAAGGGCAGAGCAAGATTTCTAGAATTATCTGTGGGTACAGTTAGAATCAGAGAATGCTTGTGCCAGGAGGACTTTAGAAGCTAATTGATTGGTCCTTTTCATTCTCTCCATAAGGTGCTGAGGTCAGAGAGGCTAAGGAGCTCCCTCAAGGTCACTCAGGTCATCAGTGGTTGAGCTATCCTAGAATCAAGAATCTCAGCCGCTGATGCTGTGCTGTTTCCACTCCAAAATGCACCTGCTTAAGTTTACTTCTCTCCCTTTCGCCCTCTCTCTCTCTCTGAATCTGTTAACCAGAGCCAAGTAATTCTTCAAACAGAAATCTAATTATATCGCTTTGTGCTTTTACACATGCTATTTCCTCTGCCTGGAATACTCTGCATCCTCCCACTTCTCTGTCTGGCAAATTCCTGCCCCATCTTCCACTCTCAGCTAGAATAGCCCTTTCCAGTGAAGACGTGTTTGCCCTGCCTGGTAGAGTGGTCACTTGTTCTCTGAGTGCCTGCAGAGCTTTTGGCCTGTGGTACTGCTATGATCGGGTTCCCCTTCCCTGTTGCCTGTGTGGCTCGTCTTGTGACCTCTCCACCTTGTATAGTGAGTGGCACTTAAATGTTTGGGAAGGAAGGAAGGAAGCTTCTCACGTTAGTTAGAAACAATGGCAAAGCTGTCATTCTGTGACACTTCACTTCCTCTGACCTGAGTATGCTTTTGGTTCACAAAGTGACAATGACTCATGGGGTGGGAATTTGCTTTTTTTTCCTTGGCCATTCCCCGGCACCATAAGCAGGCAATTCTGGGGCCAAGAACTATTTGGACATTATAAGTGATTGCTGCCTTTTTGTTTTCAATTTTCTCCTAATGGTATATGACCGGCTGTTGCTTGCCTTTTGCTGTAAGGCAAGACTTGTGTTTGTGCCTGGGCTATGTATAAACACACACACACATGTACACACACAGACACACAGTGATGTCTCCTGGGAGAAGTTGCACTCTTATTTTTCAGAGTAGCACCAACCTCCAGAAAGTGCTCTCAGGTGGAAAGGAAGAGTTAGTCTTGTGCTCCTAAATTTGCTGCCCTTACCTTGAAAATCTGTACTTCTTAACTTATTGGAACATTAACTCAAGGTAAGTTTGTAATTTCTAGGTCAAGAGTGAATTCTAAGAATTCCTTCCCACCCCCTATGTTCACAGCTCTTTAGCTTGTTTGTTTTGGGTAATTCTGTTCTAATTACTGTACGTACATGCTGCTTAATTAATAGTGTTTTGGTAGGTGGAAAATTGCTCCTAATAGAAGTAATTATCATACAGGTTATTGCAAAGGGTAAAAGGAGGTGCCAGAAGCTGCTGGTGATGGGATCAATGTCCTGGATTTTGTTCTAAGTAAATGATTCAGATTCGAACCAGGCTGAGTTTGCTGACTGCCAGGGAATGCCTAAGCAGGTGGAAAGGCAGCCTCATGGAGAAGCTGTCCCTTCCTGAGCTCTCTTATATTGAGAGCCCTTGAGTAATCACTGTTAATCAATACAATAGAGTAGGATACAATTAGTATGAATTAGCCCACTGCTGCGAGCTGCCCAGCTCTGCATTCTGCATTTGTGAGTGTCTCTCCTTCTTGGTTCCTACTTCTCTTGAAGAGGAAGGTGTCCTTCCTGGGTGTCCCCAGGCCACACTTTGCCAAGCCCCTTCCTACTCATTCATAAGGTGGAGAAGGAGCACTAGGAAGGAACATAACATGGTGGTGGGAAGGAAGAGGGGATGAAGGACCCAAACAAGGTGGAAAGAGAAGGCTGGCGAGAGAACATGTGAAGAATGGGTGAGATTCTGAATGCCTGTCAAGGGAGAGCTGCGGTGACACAACCACGCAGAAGGCATTTGTCTATTCTCCCAACCAGACAAGTGGGAAGCTTTCCTGCTTGTTCCCCAACCCTCAGTATATGGAATATTGTCATATTTTTTTCTTTTAATCAAAACATGCCTCCATAATGCATACTTTTCTATATTCATAATGACAAAAACAATCCATGGTCTCCAGGGAGTGGAGGTAGTTGCTTTGAAGGAGTCCAGAGTGGGCATCAAGAGAACTGACCCGGGGTGGAACTCCGGAGAATGGCTTCTGCTGCCCAGATCTCACTGCCCTTGTCTGTGATGTGACCGGTCATCACACTGTGTGTGGCCTTTTCCAGAGTGAGTTTCACCCCCAAATCACCTGGACGGCCTACTAGACCTGCCCATTTGCTCCCTATGTTCTTTTTCTCTGCTCCCTTCTCTGCCTGTTCAGAACGGGTTTTACCTTTGCAGATTCCTCTTCATTCCACACATTATGAATTTCAGCATTTCCGTTGCTCCAAGAGGTCTTTACCCCTGAGATCTTGCACCATTTCTCTTTTTACACTGCCTCATAAACACCTGTCTTGGATCCGGCCCCATCATCCTGGCCAAACTGCTCCTTGCCTTGTCAGAGGTGGGACATAGGGTGGCACCTGTGGGTCTTGCTGTCTCCAGCCTTCTGCTTCCTGTTGGGTTGCTAGTACCCAGAATTTTCTTATATAAAACGTTCCATATGGACCTTGTTCTAATTCTCCAATTTCTAACATTCTAGACGTCTTCTAGTGTTTCCCTTTCCCTGATTTAATCTATTTTTACTTCACAGTTTTCTTTGATTGTCTCTTAGAATCACTTCTCTGGGTTTAAATTTTCAGGTCTTTTCTCTTTTTCATTCATTTTCTTAGGTCACCTTTCAAAAAATTTCAAATACCTTTTCTGTTCAGCAGAGGGCTCCCTTTCCATCCCTCCCGCAGCCCGGGCAGCTAGGAGCTCAAGCTTGCTCCCTACGACATTCCCTCCCCGCTTCCACACATCAGGAACACTAGATCACTTCAACTTGTAAACAATTCCGCCTGGTTCGCTGTGGCTGCGCTAAAGCTTTCTCCTCGCCAGAGAACACTCCTCCCGGATTGCCCATCCTTCGGATCCCGCCTCCTCCGCCTCCCGTGTTCCTGATGCTGTTTTACTCCCTGCAGCCCCTGCGTGTTCTTCGCCACTCTGTAGGGTGCATATCACCAGCCCAGTTCACAGCGGAGGAAACTGAGGCTTGGGGAGGTTCTCTCAAGGTCGCTTTCCAGCCCAACCCAGCAGCCTAGCCTCACACCCCGCCACTGCAATTCCGAACACACCTCCCGCTTTCCTACGCGATCCCTTTCCCCTTCAAATCAGCACTGGCAGCTCCCAGCTAATAAGGCTGGGAAATTGGGGAGCCCGGCGCCTGGAGTGGGGGTTTTCGGGCTCCAAGTGTTGGAATGGCTCGAGATGGGGGTAAAAGGATGTTTAGGCGGGATATGGCTAAGGTGACAAGCGTCTAGGGGACGTCGGCCCTGCAGTCTGAATACCGACGGGGTTGGTGCCGGGCTCAGGTTCACCTCCTGGTAACACAGTTGGCAGTTCAGGTCCAGGAGTCCGGCTGCGGGGACTCGGGGAGGCAGGGCGCCCCCTCGCGCTCTCCCGCGTGCCTGGGGCTGGCGGGTGACGCGCTGCCGCGACAGGTCCTCTCCAACCCCCTCCTCCTTTTCGCTCCCGCTCCCCTCCTTCTCTCCCCTCGCTCCCAACTCCTCCCCCACCGCCTCCCCTCCCTCCCTCTGCTCCCTCGCTCTCCTCCCCGCTGTCTCCGGCGCGCGGGGTCTGGAGCTAGTTGGAGAGCGGGGGTTGGTGCCAGAGCCCAGCTCCGCGGAGCCGGGCGGGTCGGCCGCTCATCCAGCGGCTGCTGGACGAGGCGGAGCGCAGCGGGCACAGCCCAGGGCCGGATTGCACCCGGGCGCGAAGCCCAGGGTCGGGCGCCCTTGCTGCGCGGCCGCCTCGTTCCCAGACGGGCCGCCAGCCCTCGGGGTCGCCGCGGCGCGGACCGCTAGCCGCCGGGAGCCGCACCTGCGCGTGCCGCCGGAGGTGAGTCCCGGAGCCCCGGCGCTCTCCCGGGGCGGGCTGGGGCTGCAAGTTGCAAACTTCAGCAACTCGGGTGGGTAGAAGGTTGGGGGCCGCAGGGCGCTGGCAAGTTGGAGGCAGGTGGGGGAGGCTGCAGGGGGAGGGGAAGACAGAGGGTCCTCGGCTTCTGCACGGCTCCGCTCGGGAGCCCTCGGCGCCGCTGCGTTCTTGTCGCCGGGCTGCTCCGGGTCCCGGTGGCACTGGGCCCTCTCCCGGCTGCGACCAGAGCATCTGGGCTGCAGCCGCGATGGGGAGCCAGGGCTCGGACTGGGGCAGGGGACCGACCCGTGAAAGGCTAGCAGAGAGCGGGGCAGAGGCGCGGAGACCCGGCCGAGATCGAGGCTGCGAGCGAGCCGGCGAGTAAACGCGAAGGGGCCGCGCGGGCGGCGAGGCGCGTGGGACGCGTGGCCCCGGAGTGTGAAGTCTCCCGCTCGGGGACCGCCTCGACCCCGCTCCCGGACACCCCTGTCCTGGCCGGGCCCCGCGCAGCCCGAACTCTGCCCGCCGGGCTCTAGATCCGGCGGCTCCCGGCCCGGTGCTCCCGCCTTGGCCGGTGGAGAGGGGCGCGGCGGCGGGAGCCCGCGCGAGCGATCTCCTGATTTATTTTTCTCATGGTAATTTGTCTTTGTGGTTGGGGCTGCCCATTCACTTTCCGCTCACGTCGTGCGGGAGATCCAGCGCGGAGGGAGGGAGCGGGGGGCGCTCGGGCACCGGGAGGGATGGAGACCGAGAGGGGATCGCGACCCCAGCGGAGCTCAGAGCGAAGTGGCCACCGGGTCCGGGGAGGACGGAGCGAGGCTGGGAGGACAGGAAGATGCTGCCGGCTCCGGGGTTCGCCGCAAACTTTAAGCGAGGAGGGCCACCTGAAGCGCGGTCTTGCCCCTTTCTCATCCCCCAAGGAGGCCGGGTCCTCGGCCGCCCCGCCCCGCCGCGCAGGCAGGAGAGGGCCCCGAGTTCCGATGGGAAGAGGCGGCCGCAGGACGCTGTACATCCCCCTCCCTGCGGTCCTCTCCCTTTGGCGGCGCGGAGCTGGGGCGGCAGGCCACCCTCCGGTGCGCTCTTCCCAGCCGACGCAGTGGGCTTAGGGGTTGCAAGCGCGCCTACTTCTAGGACTCTCCAAGGTCCTTCCTTCTGTGGTCCCCATCCTCGTCTTTTCCGTCCAATTCCTAGCGGATCCAACCCCTCTCCACGTTCTTTACCTCCTCCCTTTGGCTTTCAACCTGCTCCTCATCCTTCGGTTCCCGCCCCGTCCCCCACCCACCCCCACTTCACCTCATCTTTGAGCAGCTCCTCTTCGTCTTTCTTCTCCATGTTCCGAAGTGTCTTCCCACCTTTTCTGAGCTGGGATATGTCACCTCGAGGAAGGGGCGGATGCCAACTTGGGCCTTAGAGGTGGACCTCAAAACTAGGAAGAAAAGGGGACAAAATAAGAGACACCGTGGAAGGAAACCATTCTGCCCCAAATCTAGGTTCCTAAGGAAAGAGAAAGGGAGTAAAATATGGCTCTCCAGGGTAGAGGGCTGGGTGGTCTTAGGGCAGGAGAATCGGCCTGGGCCTTGGGGGAGGGGAGGAGAGAAAGGCCACTCAGGAGGTGGGGCTGCTTTGCTGAGCCAGGAGGAGAAAGGTTTGTGTGTGCAGAGTGTAGGTGTGGGGGCAGCTTCTTTCTGTGTATGAACACCTCCCACTACCAGTTGGGAAGGAATGGCAGCTATGCCTTCTCTTTTCTCTTTCCAGGGAGGGAGTGCCAGAGCCTTCCTCCTCCAGAGCTGGCAACAGCCCCCCCACCTCACTGTGGACCTCAAGTACCTTTTATGTGCAGTGTCCTGTGCTAGGTAGTGGTAGATACAAAAAGGTACAGGACTGAGCTGCTGCTAGAAGAGGCTGCTCAATGCACCAGTTTGATTCCAAACATTGTAGGTGTGTTTGGGTAGGAGAACATGGCATGCAAGGCAACAAGCCTTGGTGGGAAGAGGTGGTCCTAGGAGGCCTCTGGAATGGACTAGCTGAAGACATCCCATGATTCAGGTGGGATGGAGCTAGGCTTGTTGAGTCTAGCTGGTGACAGAGGAACTGAACCTCTTCCCCACCAGCTACCTGTGCAGGAGAAGGCCTGATAGGGAGGAGTTCCCTTACCACTAGAGCTGGACCAAAAAAACAGAAAAGCACAGAGGCCCTGCTTGGCTCTGTGGATCGCTGTCTCCATTGGGAGACTTTCTGGTCGTAGGGTAAACCTCCTGGCTTGTTTGAAGGTCCTCCTAGTACCCACTTCTTATTGAGGCTCCATGCTGAAGGAGGGCTTGGAGATTGTCCATAAAAGGAGACTCACAATTTCACATGCTTGCAGAGGGCAGGCAGGTAGCAATGTGTTGAGTGGCCTAGTCTGTGGACAACTGGATATGTGAAGTCAACTGGCCAAATGAAATGGTCTGAACAGATCCAGTTTATAGCCCTTGAGTACTCTGACCCCCAGTATCCATAGATGAAGAATTCCTTTTCAGTACTGAGATTGGACATAGGACTTTTGTGATGAGCTACATCCCCAGGCCTTTTAATTTCTATTTTGAGACGGATTCTTGGTAATTTGCCCAGGTAGGCCTCAAACTGGTGATCTTCATGCCTCAGTTTCCATTAGTGGTGAAATTACAGGCCTGTACCACTGCACCTGGTTTAGATCAAGAAGTTGAGGCTCTAAAACGTGAGTATAACCACTTTGGATATGCATGTTATTATGTCTCTGCATACCTGAGAGATTAGTTGGAATGTCCTATCTCTGACTTGTTGGATCTGTACATAATCCTCACCTTCTTCTTCTTTACACTCAGATCTTTGCATTTGAAGTTACCCACCATGAAATTGGTCTTAAATTTACGATCATATTTAACTATCTTGTCTTCAATATATGACAAGAAGCCAAAGCTACACTCTTCTTTCGGTACTGGGGATGGAACTCAGGGCTTGCATGTGCTAAGTAAACACTTTACCACAGAGATGTACTCCAGCCCCAAAGCAAGTGTCATGGCTAATGGAATTTCATTGTATTGTCTGAACTGAGCCCTTCTTTTGTAGTTGTGTGGACCACACCTGGAGCTTCATTGGCATAATGCTATGCTCTTCAAGCATTCCTTCCTGTGGCTTTCGCTGGATGACAGCTAGCCTAGGAGCTGATTCTCTAATGGGTGATCTGGAAAGGGATTTTGTGCATGCCAATCTCTTTCTCAGATAGATCTCCTCCAAGACTCTCCTTCTGAGAAATTCCTCTTGTAACTGGCTTGAATGCTAGCAAGCGGCAGGGAGAAGTTCCAGCTGGGAGCAGAGTTCTGAAAGGAAAGGGAGGGGAGTGAGTTGAATGTTCTGTGGCTCTGCCATGTCACTTTCCTTCCCTTCTGCTTTAGTGTTTTGCTTTTCCGAGCATGAGAAATGCCAACTAAACCTTGCAGGATGTATCCTTAAATCCTGATGTGACCAAAGAGCTAACAAATAAGAAAGTATAGACTTGGTGCCTTGAGAGTGAGTGGAAAAACAAAAGAAGGTGGTTTTCTGCACAGTTTGCTGATGGATATCATGGGGAAATTGGAAGGACAGAGCCCTGGCTGGAGATGGCTTGGTAGGGTTTGACATTAAGCATACGTCCTAACAGTTGGTCCATGTCTCCTGCTCTATTTTGACTTGAAATGGGAGGACAGGGATTCCACTTGCAGCACTTGAAAGCTTCAAACGCAGCTCTGAGTGTGCTGAGTCCTGCCATAACACTGCCTCCATTGATCTGCCTTTAATAAGGATGACTTAATCAGACTAGCACATGCAACTCATTTGAATTTGAAGCCTTGTCAATATTATCAGAATATCTTTGCATTTGAACCAGGAACGTCTCTGGCTGGCATCTTCTGTGATGGGAAATGTTGGTTCTTGGAGGATGAGTGGTGACCATCTGTTCTGCCCATCCCCTGAGAATCAAATCAGAAGAGATAGGTTTCAAGGGCTGAGGGCGGAGCCTGGTTAGCAATGCATTGCAAAATGGGCACTATAGTTTGGTCACTGGATTATCTGCACATTATCCCTCCACCAGGCCACCAGGGAGGCAACTACAAGGAAGTGGCTTGTGGTGAAGCAATTGAGATCCATCCCTTCTTGCCACCCCTGCTGGTCTACCTGAGCTAGAGCTCCCTTCCCATTGGCCCCAGTCACTGTCCTGAAGGCGCCTTGGGATCCCTGCTGTTTGAGTACAAAAGAGCTGCAGTTGCCTCTTAATTATTCAGGGATGGATGGATCTAGTGTGTAAAGCATCCAACACCCAAGCCAGGCCTCTTCTTTCCCTTCTTTTGATGCCTCGAGTAATTCTAAACCTGGAGTGAGAAGCTGGGAGATCTTATCATTTAATACCAACTTTTGTTTTCAGCAGCCTCTTCCCTCTGTTCCTTTTCCTTCAAGACTGGAAGGGGGCACTTTGAGCCCTCCAAGACGCCACCTTTACCCAGAGCAGAGTGTTTTTAAGGTCCTCACATTCTCTGTTGGCTGGTGTGTTTTTCTGCCCAAAAGCAGGACAAAAGAGGAAAATACCACCAGCACCTGCTTATGCAGGGTCAAGACCCTGTAGATTTCCCAAGATCCCGGTTTTCTTTCCTTCATCCTTTTCACAGAGTCTGTGTCTTCAGATTATGGAATAGATGGTACCCTGGATCAAATTAGAGTCTAAAAGTGTAGAGCAGTATCCTTGTCCCACACAGGAAGGATCTAAGGAACACCTTTGTTAATGTCCACTGTTTTCCTGCATACTCCACAGGCTTCAGGCT